TCAGCATGGACACGAGATGAGGTACATCAGCGGCAAAGCACTCAAACTCCTCCTGCCTGTCCTCAAGGACGTCCGTGCCAAGAGCACACTCACCCCCGACGGACGGAGGACAGACAGACTTAGACTCAGACTCAGCAACAAGACCGGCAGCGTAGTCTAGACGACAGTGAGCAGCAAAGTCGACAAGCTCAGCAACTAAGGCAGACGCAGCAGCTGACTCAAAGGAAGGGTCAGTGACAGCAGTGGCCAGGAGACGCGTGACAGTAGGACTAGCAGCACGAAGAGTGTCAGACTCCGGGTCAGCAAGGGCAGGAAGGGAGGACGCAGGAGGAGAAGGAAGAGGGACACGCTGCGGAGCAGTGGAAGGACGCAGAGTCATATAGTGTGTGCCAGGGACAGGCGGAGGACGCTCACGCGGGGCACGACGACCAGTGCGAGCAGCACGAACAGGCGACGCTCGACGAGACACAGGCGACACAGGACGAGACGCAGGCTCACGACGCTCTGTAAGACCTCCTGTCGGACCAGTGTAGGGAGAAGGACCAGGGAGTGGCGAGGCAGGCGGTAGCTGTGACAGCGACTGGACAGGCGGAGGACACTCTAAGGAGGGAGCAGGACAAGGAGGAGGAGGCGGCTGACCAAGAACCTGCTGAAGGAGGGGAACGAAGTACGGCCGTGGTCGTGAAGTGCCCCCAGAACCAGCAGAGACAGCACCAGAACCTCCAGCAGCAGCTCCAACTCCCTCAGCACCACCAGCAGCTCCAGTACCTCCAGCAGCACCAGCAGCACCTCCAGCAGGACCAGCACTAGCAGCACCTCCAGCAGCTCCAGTACCTCCAGCAGCACCAGCACCAGCCGCACCACCAGCCCCTCCAGCAGGTCCAGTACCTCCAGCAGCACCAGCAGCACCTCCAGCAGGACCAGCTCCAGCAGCTCCAGTAGCACCCCCAGTCCCAGCAGCTCCAGTACCGCCAGTACGAGCACCTCCAGGACCAGTAGCTCCAGCACCTCCAGCTCCAACATCAGGGTCAGCAGCGACACCAACTCCAGTAGGCCCAGCGTCCTCAGCTCCAGCTCCAGTAGCACCTCCAGTGCCCACAGTACCACGGCGACGGCGACAGTACCGAGAGTACCACTCACGCAGCTGCTGGGGAGAGAGAGCGCCCCCAGGCGCAGCACCCCCAGGCTCAGGACCTCCAAGCGCAGTACTCCAAGTCTCCGCACCCCCAGGCTCAGCACCCCCAGGCTCAACACCCCCAGCCTCCGCACCCCCAGGCCCAGCACCCCCAGTCTCAGCACCCCTAGACCCAGCACCACCAGGCTCAGCACGCTCAGCACCTCGCGCAGGACCAGAGTCGACAGCTACCTCGACAGGCTCGACCGGGTCTACCTGGGAAACACCTGAGGGAGCAGGACCCTGGGGAGGCAGGGGTTCTACCAAAGCAGCACCTGGCGTGAGGAAGAGCGGCGGGGGGGGGAGCGGGGCAGTGCGGTAGGGGAAGAGACGGTAGAAGGGGACCTACTCGTCGAACGTGACGTCCTGAGAGGCAAAGACACGGCGCGAGGTGGGGTGGTAAAACTGACAGCCAGGCGCATCAGGGACAAAGCCCAGGAAGACACAAGGAACGGCACGGGAGGAGAGCTTGTCCGCGGACGTATCGCGGACAAAGGCACGAGATCCCCAGACCCCGAAACGCGACGCATCGCCAACCTCTCCCGTCCAACGCAGTGTCGGCGAGGTCTCCGGAACAGAGACACGGGGCCAGAGGTTGAGCTGATGCGCGGCGTACCGGACCGCAAACGGCCACAGAAAATGGGGGCAGCCGCATGGACTAAGGAGGTACAAGCGACCTCCATGACCAAGCCAATGCGGCGCTCAGCAACCCCATTCTGCTGAGGAGAGGCCGGAAGCGTGAACGACTGCTCAATGCCCTCCCCCTGACAGAAGGCCTCCAAGAGGCCGGAGGAGAACTCACCACCTCTGTCAGGACGGGAAGGTCCGTGTGAAAGCGCCTCTCCAGCTGGAGACGGGTAGCGCGGATCCAAGGGATCAAGACAGCAGGGACCTCTCCCTTGGTGCGCAAGGGGAAGACCGTGGTGTAACGCGTGTAGTCGTCAACTACCAGCAGGAAGTAGCGCTCTCCGCCCTGTCCACGGACGCGGGCTGGGCCCCACACGTCCATGTGAAGGGTCTGCAGAGGAGCCTCCGTCGGGGGGAACTCAGAGGAGTGCGGGGTGGCACGCTGCCGTCCCTCGACACAGGGAAGGCAGGGAGGGGCAGGGGACGGTGGGAGGGGAGGCAGTGACCTGGGGAGACCAGAGACAAGGAAGCGAGAGTGCATGCCACGAAGGCGCTGCATCGAAGGGTGACCAAGGCGGTGGTGCCAGAGGACAGTCCGGTGCGACAGGGTGCGACACGAGCAGGGGGCGGACAACTGACCTGACGCAGACGCAGACGCCGCTACCTGAGGGGACTCAGTGGTCAGTGTGTACAAGTCCGACCCCGGCTGCCGAGTGAAGGTAGCCAGGTGACGACCCGTCTGGGCACACGTGTAGTGTGTCACATGCTCGTAGGCAGGGGTGAACTGGTGAACACCCGTGTCCTGGAGCGCGGAACCCGCCACCAAGTTCGTAGAGAACGAGGGGAGGTAAAGGCCCGACAGTGTGCCGGACGGGACAGCAGGACAAGGGAGGGCAGTGGTGGAGGTCGCAAGGACCGGACCCCCGGAGGGGTCAGCCAGGGAGACAGCAATCGGTCTAGGGAGCTGCTCTAGGGCAGTGCGGTCGCGAAAGAAACAGCGGGAAGCCCCTGAGTCCAGTGTGAAGGTGTGCAGTGCCGCAGTAGACGCAGTACCTGAAGCAGCAAACACACCTGCACCTAGAGCAGCAGCCTCACCAGGACCTGGGGCAGCAGACGCACTAGCACCTAGAGCGGCAGCAGACTGGATACCGGGGTCAGGCAGCACACACAGGTGACAGGCTCCCTCGGCACTAGTAGACAATGCATACATGGCAGTGAGAATAGCATCATAGTCAAGAGCAAAGATATCTACCCTCTGTCTAAGAAGCTCCACCCAGTCGGGGAGCTCAGCGCCGTCGCCAAACTCTGTACGCCAAGCGTCGCTCAGACGGGCGAAGCAGCGGGACTCTGTGTGACCACGCGTCCCGCAAGGCTGACCAGTCCGGACACCCGTGCTAATAACGTACGGGCAGCGAGCAGTGCTCAGCGACCCTCTACTCTGAGCGTACCACTCACGAAGCTGCTGGGGCGAAAGAGTCTCGCCCGGACGACGCTGCTGCTGCACAGGGCCACTACAAGAAGCTCCCGAACTACCCACTCCAGGACGACTCCCACTACGGCCACCCCGACAACCCCAACTGGCGTACCACTCACGAAGCTGCTGGGGCATGAGGGACACACGCGGACGGCCCTGGAGCTGCATCTGGCCACGCCAGGAGCAGCAGTGGAAGCAGGAGCAGCAGGAGCAGCAGTAGCAGTAGCAGCAGCAGTAACAGCAGTAGCAGCACAAGTAGGGCAGTGCTCACCAGTGGTGGGAAGGGCAGGCACATGACGGAGGCGACTGCGGGGCCGCTACAGCGGCAGGGCGGGGCCGTGACCGCGGCAAGAAGCTCCGCGGCAGTTGCTGCAGGGCGGGACCGGGCCGCGACGGTCGCTGCTGCAGGGGCGGCTCTTCCAGGGGCGGCTGCTCAAGGGGCGGTTGCTCCAGGGGCCAGGGGCGGCTCCTGCAGTGGCGGCTGCTCCAGTGGCCAGGGGCGGCTGCTGCAGGGGCGGCCGCTCCAGGGGCCAGAGGCGGCTGCAGGTGCGGCTGCTCCAGGGGCCAGGGGCGGCTGCTGCAGTGGCGGCTGCTCTAGGGGCCAGGGGCGGCTGCTGTAGGGGCGGCTGCTCCAGGGGCGGCTGCTCCAGGGGCGGCTGCTCCAAGCGCGGCTGCTCCAGGCGCGGGGTAGGGCAGGGCAATGCGGCGGACAGGGGCGACGCCGCGGGCAGGGGCGACGCGACGGGCAGGGCGACGCGGCGGGCAGGGCGACGTCGCGGGCAGGGGCGACGACGCGGGCAGGGGCGACGCCGCGGGCAGGGCGGGCGACGACGCGGGCAGGGGCGACGCCGCGGGCAGGGCGACGCGGCGGGCAGGGGGCGACGACGCGTTCGCAGCTGGGCGCGGCCGCGTCAGCAGTAGGGCGCGGCCGCGTCAGCTGCAGGGCTGGCGGGGCCGCGTCACGGCAGGGCGGCCGCGTCCGCGTCGGCGGCAGGGCGGGGCCGCGACCGCGGTAGGGTGGGGCCGCGTCAGCGACCAGGCGGGGCCGCGACTGCGGCCTGACGGGGCCGCGACAGCGACCTGACGGGGTCGCGCGCTGGCCTGACGGGCCTGTAGAGGCTGCGTGCGGGTGGCGAGGGCCTGCAGGGGCGGCGCGCGGTCGGGCAGAAGCTGCGCGCGGGTGGGGTGGTCCTGCAGGGGCAGCGCACCGACCTGACGGGCCTGCAGGGGCGGTTCTCGGGCCTGACGGGCCTGCAGAGGCGGCTCGGGGGCCTGACGGGTCTGCAGAGGCGGCTCGTGGGCCTTACTAGCTTGCAGGGGCGGCGCACTGGCCTAGGGCAGCAAGAGGCAGCGCGAGGGCTGCAGGACGGCGCGCAGGCAGGACGAAGGGCGAGGCGCGCGAGGGCGCACTAGCAGAAAAAAGGCGCGCGTAAGGTAGGGCGCACAAGGGCGCTTCTAGCGGAATAGTGGGCCCGTAGTAGTAAGCGGTCCTAGGTGGCAACCTAGGCTCGTGATACCATATCAGAATGAACAAGAGTGATTGAACTAGCAAAGGGTTGGGTACAAGTAGGAAACCCTAAACTTACTGTACCCCATAGTAACTACCCCACTACAGCCTAAACAAACTGTAGCAGATATGACATTTGACACGATTGTGTAGGACAACTAACGGGGAGGAAATGGGGCAACGGGAGAAAGCAAACGGGGAAGAAGCCCCGTCGGATACTAGAATTGATCCGCGTCATGAACTGCAAGGAGCCCAGTCTGAGAGCGGTGAAGCTCCCGCACCACAGCCGCGCTTGCGCCGATCACTTCGTCTCCAGTACCTGCGCGCAGGACCCGCTTCAACCCACGGACAGCCGTACCAAGCTGCCCAACACCCGCAATTACACCCTGAGCGGGCGCAGCCAGCACGCGCGCCAGGATGACCGTCGCAAATCCTACCGAAGAATCCTACCTGGAGCTCTAGATTATTCTTTGGTAGGATCCTGGTGTCGCGCCAGGATGACCGTCGCAAATCCTGCCGATCCGCCGCATCGAGGCACTCGTCCCGAGGGCCTCCGTCCAGGGAATTCCCTTGGAACAGAGCAGCATGACCGTACACCTGGATCAGGTGAACGACGCGAAGAGCCTCACAGAGCCGCCACAACTGCGCCAGGCTCGCTTCCAGGACCTCAGCCATGCGAGGGGGCCCAGGCAAGGTCGGGAGTATCGGTGCATCAAGAGCAGATGGGGGTGCTGGATCAGCAGGCAGCAGAGGCGGGTACTGTGCCGTCACCGCTCCCCCTGCCGCAGTCACAAATTCCAGTCCCGCCACCGGGGGAACCCTTGGTAGCCGCAAGCGACGATCTCGTGCGGCAGCAGACGCGGCATGGACGGAGGGAGCCGGAGCAGGAGCAAGAGGAACGGGAGCAACAGCCTGACGGGGCGGAGCCGCAGCCACGGGAGGAACGGCCGGAGGAGGGGCGGCTGGAGCAGGAGCACGGCGCTGCACCGCCCTCTCCTCGCGTATCCCCGCTGAGACAAGACGCTGCACATCCGCCAGTGAGATCGTCTGAACATACGCCGAGCCGCCGCCGTAACCGCGACCTCCCGCCCATCCCCCATGACCGCCATGTTGTGCATGCCAGTACGCCTGTGAGCGGTTACGCCGGGGGGAATCACGGCGGCGTCGTGACGACTCCCGCTCCTCACGGGGCGCAGGAGAATGCGGGCGAGAGGAGCGTTGGCCCTGCTGATGACCCGCAGATGCAGCAACAAGCGTCGGCTGGACGGCCCCCGCTGGCGCCACATTCGGGCCCTGGCCGCCAGTGGTGGCGGACACCGCCATCGGCGACGAACCAACAGCCGCGTCGGTCGCAACAGGGACAACAACGGCGGGCAGTGCCGCAGGGAGCTCAGGCACGGGCGGCGCAACACCAGGATCGGCAGCGGCAAGCGGCGCCGCAGGAATCACAGGGACAACCAGTGGACCAGGGGCATCTGGTGCGGGTCCTGCGACAGGAGCAGGATGGCCCGGCTCAGCAACAAGGGCCGACGGGGTGGGCAGGGGAGACGTTGGAGCCCCACACGTCTCGAGGTCCGGAGTCGGAGGCGCAGAGACTCCAGCGAGCGGGGGCGCTGGCTTCGGGGCAGGGGGGACCGGCGGCTTCATTATGGCAATCCCCGAGGCAGACACCGGCGGTGACCTTTCGCGCGCCGATGACGCAGCGGCAGCGGGCTTTGGCGATGGCCACGGGTCTCCAGCAATCACCATCGCGAGGCAGGGGGAGGCGAGGAGCAGGACGTCGTGAAGGACGCAGAATTGAGGGAGGACCGGAGAACGCGTTTCAGGCGGCAGCACGAAGGGCTTTAACACAGCTCGATGAGAATACTGACCCAGAGGAGCAAAACGACCCGTCTTATAGGGAGGAGGCACAACCGCCGTGCGAGAAGGAAGACGAGGATGACGAGAGCGAACGACAGGCGAGACGTAGCGGAGGGAACGGGAGAGGAGTAGCAGGGCAAGCGGGAGGCACACGGGTGCCACAAGATGGGGATCCGACGGTCCTCATTCCAACCCCGCCCTCTACACGTCCTACGAGCCGCGGACGAACAAATCGATCACGGAGGGTCCAGGAGGGTGCGGCTTGCCAATCCCAAAATGCACGCTATTTTTCTCCAGAAGAACTGGCGAGACAGACAGACAAATTCGCTGAAGTGGCGGACTGGGACATTTCGCCTCTATGCGACAGTCGCCAACCTACGCTGTTACGACGGCTACCACCGGAACTGTGTGAGATCTTTTCGCTCGTCATACTGACACCACTTCTACACCTCTCGCGGAACCCTGACTTCATCGCGGGATGGAAGTTACTTCTATTTCTCCCGCGCCGGACTCTGCGACAAGGTTCAGCGAAACGACCCGATTGGCCCAAAATCAAAGCCCGGCTCCGGGCTTTCCAACGTGGCGAGTGGCAGCAGCTGTACCTAGACACAGTCGAAGCGGTCAACACACCACCCCCGCCACGTCACCAGCCTGACGACGTGGGCACCATCAGCAGAGCAGAGGGACTGGCAAAGAAAGGAAGCCTGCGCCGAGCCGTGTTGGCGCTCGAGTCAACGCCAGTCTGTACACCGAGCCCAGAGATTTTGGACGAACTCCGCCGAAAGCACCCCGCAGCTGAACCTGACCCCCTGACCTGGCCTGCCATCACCGAACCTTCCACCCTCGAAATTTCCTACGCGGATTTTTCGAAGATGCTCGGCCGATGCGAGAATGGTGTCGGGGCTGGCCCGAGTGGAATGACATTCGAACACCTACGCGATTCGTCAGTAACAAATGCAACCGTCTCAACCCATCTGCACGCCTTGGTAAACACGATCCTGAGGGGGAAACTGCCACTGCCAGTCGCGGAACTACTCACCTCATCACGACTGGTAGCCCTGGCCAAGCCAGAAGGTGGGGCCCACCCAATAGCAATTGGCGAGAGTCTGACTCGCCTGACGGCAAAAGCTGCGCTGGCAGCCCTAGGCGAGGCTGCTCGGGGATATTTTCTCCCTCTACAGTATGGTGTAGCTGTGCCAGGGGGAGCGGAAGCAATCATTCACAGTGCCCGAGCATACACGGATGCACACCCCAACTGCCTTATCCTACAGACCGACATCTCCAACGCCTTCAACAGCATTTCGAGACAAGCCATAGCCACCGCTTTACAAGATCCGGCCCTATCACCACTATTACCGCTAGTCAAACTGACCTACGGCCACTTCTCCTGGACGCTAGCTTCAATAGCGCACCGCTCACTAGTGAATGCGGAGTACGACAGGGGGACCCCTTGGGTCCACTTCTATTCGCGGCCGGAATCCATCCCGCATTAAGAGCAACAGCTATAGCACATCCCGGCGTACTATGCCTGGCATACGCCGATGACGTCAGTTTCCTTGGCGAACACAGTGAGACCATCGTGGCCTTTTCCTTCTTCACGACTCAACTGTCTCACGTAGGCCTGCGACACAATCCTGAGAAATGTGTCGCATGGAGAAGCCGCCCGATAGACCAGGAAGTACAGCTGCCGCCCGGGGTGCCGACTAGTACGGAGGGAGTTCGGCTTCTCGGTAGCTTTCTAGGAACACCAGACGGCGCCGCTTCGTTCCTATCCGCGCAGCTACAGGCCATGTCCAAACCACTACCTCTGATAGAGAGAATGGACCCGCAGATCGCATCCCTCCTACTCACCCGCTGCATTTCACGACGAGTAGCATACCTCACACGAACTACTCCTCTCCACCTACTAGACACAGACATTTGGTCCCAGTGGGGTAGGGACCTGCTGTCCATACTACTTACAGCATGCGGCATTCGCCTACCAACTGACGACACGGAACAGACCCGGGTCTGGGAGCAATTGTCACTCCCACCGTCATTAGGAGGCATCGGCCTCACAGATCCCACGGTAGAAGGAACGTTCGGCTTCCTAGCCAGTTTCACGCAAGCTTCACTTCTCCTTAAAGGCGTACCTCTAGAATCAGAATCGGCCCTGACGGCGGTTAGAAATCACATGCTGCTACCGCGAGACATCAACACTGCTCTACACCGCTGGCTATCCGAATGTGAGAGGGCACTGCCGCAGGAGGCCAGGGACATCCTAGACAAGGAAAGGCTCGAGCCCTCAGATTTAAAGCTACAGCATGAGCTCGGGGTGAGAGTGCATGGGAGCAGATTTGCCACACAAGTACAGGCAACACGGCTCATGCGGCTGAACCCACTCTCAGGCCATACCCAACAGTTCTTCTCTCTCACTGGCTACGGCACGGGGGACTGGCTGACGGCACTTCCAATAGAACATACCCGCCGCGTAGGTCCGTAGCACTTTGCCAATGCCCTCCGCTTCAGACTAGGGCTACCGTTCTCTACACCTAAAAACTGGTACTGTTCTAAGCATGTCGAGATCAAAGACCCACGACTGCCGAACCACCTATTCCGCTGCGGCACTGGCAAGCACCGCATCAACATGCATAACGAGCTGCGGGACGCATGCATAACGATGGCGGAGGATGCTGGCTTCATAGTCCACAGTAAATCGGCCGCCTACTGCCCTATTGAAGAACAGACCGCCGACTTCACCATGCGTGATAGGAGCTCGGGAGCGGTCTATGCTTGTGATGTCACCATCACAGATCCCATCAGCACCCGGGATCCCAATGCTACTAAGGGGAGGGGATGGGCAGCGAGAGAGCAGGCGGACAAGAAATTCGGTCACTACGCTAACCGGCCTGACACGGTCGGCTTCTTCCCCCTTGCAGTTGAGACATATGGCTGCCCATGTGCGGAAGTCCCACAGTTTTTTAAGTTATTGGCGGACACAGCTGCTAGGCGTCATTTCAACGCCCTCCCTACCTCCCACCATGCAAGGAGGTTCCTACACCTCTTCAGGCAGCGCTGGTCCGTGGCTCTGCAACGAGCACAGTCAGTAGGATACCTTATCAAGTCCTCTCAGGCGGCCGTAGCTGAAAACCCCCCGGTGGGGGGGGTGCAGTCCGAGCTCCACCTGGGGGACTCCTGTGCCGTGCTGGAACCTCTCATGGAGGTGTAGGTAGATAGTTGTGTGCAGAAAGTTGGTTGTTTGCTTGTTTGTTTGCATCCCGAGCATCTATACCTTGCATGTTTGTACCCTTTCGTTATATCAATACACGGACCATTAGAGAGAGAGAGAGACGAGGCGCATTGGACCGGCACACTTTGCCAATGCCGTCAGATTCAGGCTTGGGTTGCCCTTCTCCACCCCCAAAAACTGTGACTGCTCGGACCACACCGCAATCACGGACCCCCGCCTCCCAAACCACCTCCTTCGCTGCGGCACCGGCAAGCATCGCATCAACACCCATAACGAGCTCCGGGATGCTTGCATTAGTATGGCGCAGGACGCGGATTTCATAGTCCACAGTGAGTCGGCCGCCCATTGTCCCATCGAGGAGCAGACGGCCGATTTCACCATGACCGACAGGAGCAGCGGGGCGGTTTGGGTGTGTGATGTAACTGTGACAGAGCCCATCAGCACTCGGGACCCAGAGGCGCAGAAAGGCAGAGGATGGGCGGCCAGAGAGCAGGCAGACAAAAAGATTCAACACTATGCGAACAGACCTGAGACAGTCGGCTTCTTTTCACTGGCTGTGGAGACATATGGTTGCCCGTGTGCAGAGGTCCCCGTCTTCCTGAAACGCCTGGCAGACACGGCGGCTCGGCGCCACTTCAACGCCGATTCTAACTCTTATCATGCCGCTAAGTTTCTGCATCAGTTCAGGCAGCGGTGGTCGGTTGCTCTTCAGAGAGCACAGTCGGTGGGCCTACTCATGAAATTGGGTGAGGCGGCAGCAGCTGAGAACCCCCCGGTGGGGGGTATTGGTCATGAACTACATCTAGCTGATTGCTTTGCTGTTTTAGAGCCACTTGTGGAACTCTAGAAGGAATAGGCTGGAACTTACATGCTTATGAACCTGCATGTGTGTACCTTTCTGCCATATCACTCCCGCCGAGCCTCGGTGGGCTAGGCCTTGCAGATCCTGTGATGGAGGGCCGGTACAGCTTCCTGGCCAGCCTCGTACAGGCCCATTCCCTCCTCAGCCCCGTCTCGGGGCCGGCGGGGTCCTACCTCACAGCAGCACTGCACAGCCCTGACGCGGCAGACCCGAGCCCGAACGAGCTGCAGAGATGGATCAGTGACTGCAGAGAAAGCCTAACACCGGAAGCGCGGGACCTGATTGCTTCTGAACTAGCAAAACCAGCAGGCCAGCTACAGCACCGCCTGGCACTGATTGTCCAAGGTAGCCGGAGCGCCGCACAGATCATCGCCTCTAGACAAATGGAGTTGAACCCCCTGGCAGGCCACACACAGCGCCTAATCTCACTCACGGGCTATGGGGCGGGGGACTGGCTCCTCGCCATACCCTACATGCCCGCCCTCCGGCTCTGCCCCGAACATTTCACTTTCGCCCTTCAGTTCCGGCTTGGCCTGCCCCTGTCCGTGCCCAAGTGCTGTGACTGCGAGAAGCGAGTGGCCATTCTTGACAAGAGGCTGCCGAACCACCTGCTGCGGTGCGGTACGGGCCACGGTCGGACCAACACCCATAACGAGCTCCGCGACGAATGTATCCGCATGGCGCAGGATGCCGGGTTCGCGGTGCACAAGGAGTGCACTGCCTTTAGCCCGGTGGATAACAAGAAAGCTGATTTGGCGTTCCGGGACCGAACCTCGGGGGCGGTATGGCTGGCGGACGTAACGATCACCGACCCCATTAGCAAGCGTGATGAGAGAGCTAGGAAGGGGAGGGGCTGGGCGGCACGGGAGCAGGCAGACAAGAAAATAGGGCTTTACCAGGGCAGGGCAGACTTCGCGGGGTTCTTCCCCTTAGCGGTGGAGACCTACGGCTGCCCCTGCGAGGAAGTACCGACTTTCCTCAAGCTCCTAGCTGACACGGCAGCGAGGAAGCTCTTTAATGCGGACCCCTCTACCTACCAGGCCGCTAAGATGCTTCATCAATTCCGCCAGCGTTGGTCGGTGGCCCTGCAGAGAGCGCAATCGGTTAGCTTCCTCATGAAGCTGAACCTTGCAGCACAGGCTGAAAACCCCCCCTTAGGAGGGCTTGAGGGGGAGCTGAACCCGGGGGACTTCTTTGCAACACTTGAGCCCCCACAGGGGGGCTGCTAGGGGGTATGGGTAGTCACTCATATGATTGTCTCTGCTTCATGTTAACTCTGCACGTTGTACTGCATGTTATATCAATAAAGGACCGTTCGAGAGAGAGAGAGAGAGAGAGAGAGAGAGAGAGAGAGAGAGAAAGAGAGAGAGAGAGAGAGAGAGAGATGAAGGAGGTGAACCGCGTTACGCGAACGCAATGGGTGACAAACGGTGATTATGACTTGTTGATGCGTCTATAGGCACACGTCCATCGCAGGCCTAAACATTCTATTTTTCTTGAAATGCATTTCTTTGTGCCTTTGGCAACCGTGTTTTGATTTTTTTCCTTTGTACCTTTTTAGGTTCATTCTTGAGCGAGCATCAAAACCTGATTTCAACGGGCCTTGAGTTGAACATCAACGGACCTGCGTCAACGTGCTTCTGCCCGCGTCAACGTCAACGAGCTGAATATGAGCGTCAACGTCTTTTTGCCCTCCAACCCCAAACTAGGAAGTGCCTTTCCCCTTTTTTCTTCCCCTCGTCTTTCGTTTTTCGTTGCTCAACAAGCCACCCGCCAATTCTATCCGTTCTTCATTTCGTCGTTTTCCGCCATCCCTCTGATACGTGTGGCTGCAGTTAGTAGATGATCCTCCGCGCGTTTTGTTCTGGTTTGGGTAGATAGATCCTTCTTCTGCTAGCTGCAGTCCACAAGTATCATAGGCGTCCACCCATCACCTTCGTTTCCTTGTGTTTGTTTCCGTTTCCGCATTCATATTCGCATTTCGTTTCCTTGTGCTTGTTTTCTTTTGCTTTCCAATTTGTTTATTGCTGTTTACTAACTTCGTGCACCTGTCTTGTGTCTTCCTTTTCGGCAATCGTGGGCTTTTCTTAAAAAATCGGCTCTACATTCAAGATCGGCCCCTTATTCAAGATCGGCCTATTTTTTAAGATGGGCACTTCATTCACGGCAGCAGAGCTTCACGGGAGTGGAGGGGAGGGGAGCTTCAAATCAGCATCTTTGATTTCGCCTCCAATAACAACTATCTGGGAAGTGCTTTTTCCCTTCTTGGTTTCCCATCGTTTTCGTTTTCGTCGTCTTTGCTTTCGTCATTATTCCTCCATCCATTCATCCATTCTATCCGTTCTTCATTTCGTTGTTTTCCGCCGCCCCTCTGATACGCGTGGCTGCAGTTAGGAGATGATCCTCTGCGGGTTGAGTTTGGGTTTGGATAGATAGATCCTTCCTCTGCTAACTGCAGCCCACAAGTATCATGGAATTCTACACATATCACGTTCGTTCATTGTTTTCAATCTTTCATTTCTGTTTACTAACTTCGTGAACTTTACTTTTGTTCCCTTGCCCCGCTTGCAGTAATACTGGAAGTGGGGCTTCTTCACTTTTCAGCAAGGCTACAGCGTCGCTTCAACCACTGCTTATGGCTCTTCAAGCTTCAACCACAGCTTCGTAAATCTTTACATTTACAACAACTTTCTGTTAAGCTTTTTGCATCTCTCAGCAATGAACTTTCACTAACTCATTTTTTTCACTTTTGTGCAGATCTACCCCTTGGCTGCACGGATCTACCCCACTGATCGCGCGGATCTACCCCATTAACTGCGCGGATCTACCCCTTGGCTGCGCGGATCTACCCCTTGGAACAGCCTGCAACAACCGAGTATTTTGTATCGTGGTATTTCGTTTTTCGATTTCCATCGTAGTATTTTTTTTTTAAATACCAATAATGCTATTGGAATTTATGCAGATCCAAACCTTAACGGTTTTTAATGGAGCATCAACAATCGCAGCGGGTACCTCTCTTTCAACGGTCGCAACGGCCGCAGCGGCCCCCTCCCCTGCAGCGGCCGCCGCGACCGCCTCCCCTCCAACGGCCTCCGCGGCCGCCTCATCCCTCCCCTGCAGCGGCCGTTGCCTCCCGCCTCCCCTGCCGCGGCCGCCGCGGCCGCCTCCCCCCTCCCCTGCCGCGGCCGCCGCGGCCGCCTCCCACCTCCCCTGCAGCCCTGCCGCGGCCGCCGCGGCCGCCTCCCGCCTCCCCTGCAGCGGCCGCCGCGGCCGCGTCCCCCCTCCCCTGCAGCCCTGCCGCGGCCGCCGCGGCCGCCTCCCCCCTCGCCTGCAGCGGCCGCCGCGGCCGCGTCCCCCCTCCCCTGCAGCGGCCGCCTCCCCCCTCACCTGCAACGGCAGCAGGACAACGCTGACAACGCATCAGATGTAGCTGATGACAATGCCGTCGACGCAGCAGATGTAGCAGACACATCAGACGGTGGTTGCAAGGGAGCGAATCAGTCAAGACAGCAGACGCACTAATCAGTCGTACTGAACCAGCCGTACCTGTACTGAACCAGCCGCGAATCCGTGAAGGGAGGAGATGATGTGGGAGGCGGTCCAAGAGCGGAGGCGAGGGGTTGACTGGGATAGTGGGTGGCGTGGAGAGACAAAATGCAACTGAGTGTGCATGCTCAGACCAATGGGTTGTGGCATACGTTGCTCGGGAAGCCTCAAGGGAATTTTGTGATGGAGTCCGGTCCTTACCAACCGGTCGGCCGACGGTTGCAATTGATACGACACACTCTAGGTAGCAATTCTCTTTGGGTGCCTCGGGCATCACAAGTTTTTCCTCATTGGCGTGGGTGAGGAGAACTTGATGTCACGGGCTTTTCCACACTGGTGTGGGTGTGGAGAGTCCTTTCCTTTTGGTGCCTTTTGAATCTTCTGCTACTCACTGAACAGTCATTTCCTCAAAACCGTGATGCTGAGAAGGGGGTGAAGGAGTGGGGAAGTTGATGCTGAGGAGGAGATATTAAGGGGGAAGCTGTAAAGGGGAAGCTGCTGTTTAAAGGGTGAAGCTGAGAATGGGTGAAGTTGAGAAGGGGTTTATGGAGGTTTCTAGCCGAGCACAGTAGTACCCTATTTTGAGGGTCTTAGCCCGTCAGCAAGCCACCAAGAGGCAACGAAATCGTCTTAGGGTTGCGAAGCAACAATTGTAACAACAAGATTTTTGAACGACGTTGATTGCTTCTTCGTATTTGGATAAAAAATATTTGTGTCATTTCCATGTTTTTATGTGAATGTTGAGTTGAAGCCGTTAATTGTTTTCGAGTGTTTACGTGGTATACGTGGTAGGGTTGATTTCTCTACATTAATAAGAACGTTTACATGAGTAGTTGTAGGCTTTATTTCTATGTTTATAGTTCTAGAATGTTTGTTGATGTATTATTTGAAAATTATTTAACCAAGCGAAGTGCTGACGTCAGCTTTGTTTCGATGACGTCATCAATGTCAGGTATTCGCACGAATTTTTTACCATCGCTGATGACGTCAGCAACGAAATTTGCGCGAAATTTCGAACGTTGCTGCTGACGTCAGGCATTTTTTCTGGCGCAAAAAATTGTGCTGACGTCAGCAGCGTCGCCCGAAATTAAGTCGAAGTTTCTTACAACGCTGCTGACATTTGCTGTTTCGCGCGCTTGAAATGTGGAGGGGGGGGGGGGGGGGGGGGTGGCGCGAAAAATGTGGAGTGGGGTTTCGTGTACAGTACGTTTGGTTTTGTGCTTCACGTTGTTCTTGTTATCGTAACTGCTCATTCTGGCTGTCAGTAACTGTAAAACGCCTGCTCACGTTTTTGTTTTTTGTTCAGAAAGTTGTCGTTCGTCTTCTCTGCTTTTGTCCTATATTTCGGTTGTAACTGAAAAAATGAAAATGATTTTCAAGTAGAAACAAAACAAACAGTTGTACAACTCTTACAACTGCAAATTGTCAACCAATTGACTATGGACTATGAACTAGAAACAAAACAAACAGCATTGTTCAATTGGTTGTTTTGTTTCTAGCTCAATGCTTCCAACTGTTTTTTTTGTTTCCAGTGCACAGTAATGATTCTCTTACCATTGGTCAACTTTGCGTCCAATCGAGAAAGGCTCTTCCACTTGCCCCTGTCAACGGGAGTGTTGTTTGGCCCCGTCCTCGCTTGGGCGGAGCCGACCTCGTGGTCGGATGTGCGGGAGTTGCAGCCGACCTGCAGCAGTGGGCACGGGGGCCAGTGCAAGGGCGCCGAACTGGAGGGCGCCTGGCTGGAGGGCGCCTGGCTAGAGGGCGCCGGGCAGGAGACGCCGTCCTCGACGCGTGGTCGGCGTGAGGCTAGACGCCGACCTGGGCGTCCGCACGGCATCCTGGGAGCATGAGACGCCGCCTTGGGCGTCTGCACGGCGTCCTGGGGGCCCGGACGCCGACCTGGGCGTCAGGTCGGCGTCTAGCCTCACGCCGGCTACGGACTGCGCTGGTCGACCAGGCATGGTTGCCCGGTCGACCGGGATACCCGGGTGACGTGCGCGAGTGTCGTCGGGGTGGAATCTACGAGGCTGACCTCGGAGGGTGGTATCCCGAGGTCGACGTGGCTGGTGGGCGCAGTCGCTGGCGTGGAGTCTGCCAGGCGTCTGCGCTGTGCTCGTGACAAGGTGTGGAGCGCCAACCAGCTGTGCGCACCTGCGAAGCAGATGCACCGTTGTCCTGCAGGTGCAACGCTGTGCAGCCGACTTGCTGCAGCGTTGTCACACCATGGACTTGCAATGTTGGCGCACCGCTACTCTGCAACGCTGGAGCGGTGCGAGCGCTGCTGCGCTGGAGCGCGGTCGACCATGCCGCGCTGGAGGTGGACCCGCAGCCTAGCTAGCTCTCATGTAGTCTGTGTTGCCAATGTTGTTGCAACCATTGTTGTCATGTTTTCCTAGTGAAACTCTTGCAAATTCTCCCCGTGAACTAGCAAGCAGCATGAACACAAGGAAACAACCAAGTGAACGAACGCAGAGATCACACGAGCACCCGTGCCTAGCCCGTAGCCTAGCTCCCGTTGCTAAAGTTATCTCCGCACTCCCTTCCTAAGGCATTGCCTAGCTCTTTTTCCCTTTCTTTCCCGTCCTTCTCTTGCTCACACCAAACCCAACATCTCCTTGGAGCTTCTTTCATTGTTCTTCCTCACACTAAGCTCAACACATTCAAGCTCTTTTATTGATCACATTCAAGGTACCTATCTAGTGATAACTCTTCTTAATTTACTCTTGCCCCATGTTAAGTGAGTTGAAATATTCTGTTATTTTCTTTGTTACGTTTTTTGTTGTTTGATAAAGATATGTGGTTCTAATCTAGTCATTTTATACTAAACCCCAACTACTCTATTTCAAGCTCTTCCTGCTACTCTCCACTTCTCATCACTTTTCAGAGTGTACCCTAGCTTAACTATTTAGAAGAAAGTTGAGCTCAAATCTTGTATGTGTTTATACTCATGCATTGACTTCTATGTTCTTGCATATACTGTTACAATCTGAAGTGGGACTTAGCAAAAGGATCGTTCAGGTTTGATCGCAGGTAGTGTCGCAGCGGAAGTAGTGAACTCAGGTCAGATTGATGTAAATGACTGAGATGGTAATGGCATACATACATAGGGTTTATATAGAAATACAAAGGAATGCGAAACGACCTAGACTAGCCATGTACTGTAAGGGGTACATTCCCTTATTGCAGCGAAATTCAAACCGTGCGGCGCGGGAACCAGTTTTAAACCTGTTCCCGCTCTTTTCATTTCGAATGTTTCTGCCTGCATCGGTCTTGATCAGGCGGTTGCTGTGTCGCTTCGACTCTTCTGACTCCTCGACTTCGTACTCGGTAGAGTCGGCTCATGCAGCATACAGGAATGCCTTCTCATAAAACTTCATATCGTGACACTCCCCTTCATTCCTGGACGCAAAGGGTGCTGACTCGCTTGACTACTCCGGTGAGGTCGGAGCGGTGTTTGAACTGCTGACGTGGCAGACGCTTGGTGAGGAAGTCGGCTGCCATCTCAGTTGTTGGGCAGTACGCGAGGTCAACTTTGCCCTGGTCGATTTCGTCCTTGACGAAGAAGTACCGCAGCGCGATATGCTTCGTGCGGTTCACGAACCCTGGCTTGTTCGCGATCTTAATGGCGCTCTGGTTGTCGCAGTGAAGGCGAAAGGTAGGCGAAGTAGGAATTTTCGCCTCCTGTAGCAGCTCCTGCAGGTACAGGCCTTCGCGAACTGCTGCATTCGCGGCGATGTATTATGCTTCAGCCGATGACAGGGCAACCAGTTCTTGTTTCTGCGAGTTCCAGGAAATGAGGCTGGTTGGCTCCAGGCGGAAGACGAAGCCGGTTCAAGACCATCGATTTGCAGGGTCAGCAGCGTGATCTGCGTCCACATAGCCGTTGAGGTTGAAGGATGTTGTTGGCAGCGTGGAGTAGGAGAGCCCGATGTCAGGTGTGGAGATGAAGTACTGCAGGGCGCGCTCCAGGTCCAGCCGGTTCTTGGCTACTGGCTTGCGAGAGTACTGTGTCAGTTGCTGGCGATGTACGAAAGGTCGGGTCGGCATGTGACAGAGGCGAACAGCAGACAACCCAGCTGCTGCTGGTACAGTTGAAGTCCCGCGGGGGACAAAGGTTTGTTGTCCGGTTTGTGGTTGGTGCTGGGGTTGCGGTAGGGAGTTGAGAGTGGTGCGCGTGAAATGTTGAAGCGTTCCCCCAGCTGCTCTGCCTACTTTGAAGCTGATAGAGGGATTGCTTCTGGCGCGTAGGTGATGTTCAGGCCCAGAAACTGAGTGACGTTGTGGTTGATGGTATTGTCCACGCGCTTTGCCAGATTTTCTTCGAACTGATTAAGGAGCTGGTTGCAGGTGCCAGTGTACAGCAGGTCATCGACGTAGACGGTGAGGAGGATATAGTCGCCATTGAAGTGGAGGCGGTACATTCCCGGGTCGTGTGGCAGCTGCCTGAAGCCAATTTCGAGTAGAATTTTGTGCCGATGCTGCTACTAGAGGCGAGGCGCCTGCTTGATCCCGTAGAGAGACTTCTTTAGCTAGCAAACCCTGTGATCTCCTTCCCCGTAGGTGTGTGGCTGCTCCACGAAGATGGTTGCGTCCATACGCTTTGCCATCTGTAGGGTGAGTGGGGAGGTGAAGGAGTGCGAGGGGGTCGTCCGAGCGGTACGGCGACACGTGGTGATTCTTCTCCACGCTCGGCTCGCATCTCACGCTCTGCTTCATCCAGCTCTTCTTGTGTCAGATCACCTTCAGTTGTTTCCATGGTGCCCCACCCTCCTGTAGTGACCATGCCGTTGCCGCTGGCTCCCCAAGTGCCAGTTGCTGATCCCCAGGTAGCGCCTTCTTCTGGTTTGTAGTCTTCGTCTCCCCACGCGCCTCGTCGTGCGGACTCCTCGCTCCAGCCTTGTGCGATGCGGTCCTCGTACAGCTTTTGTTTCTTCTCTGCCTTGGCCTTGTCTCTTTCTTCCTTGACGCTCAGCTCGTCTTTTGCGTCAGGATCCTTCCATGCCGGGTCAATCTCGTGGCGGTAGACTTGGCGGGTGTACGGGCGTGGGCGATTCTCCTCGTCGAATGTGCCGGTATTGGCTTCAAGAATGAAGCAGAGTGTCTCTGAGCGCGGCGTTGGGCGCGGTACAGGCATTTGGCAAAATCTCTTG